CGATATTTTTCACATTGTACCCTCATATTTGTGATTACTTTCACACTGGCCATATTATTAACGTCATTTACATATTTATCAAAAAGTTATTTCATTTTACCCCCAAACTATGTATTTTTTTAATTTTTTCCCGATACATCAACAATTCTCATCTAAAAAGATAATAGACATTTACAATTGGACAATGTAAAATAATCAAAGTAGTAAGAGATAATCAGGGATGACAGTGGATTGAATCAAGGGAGGGAGGTGTAGTTTCTATCCTCGTACCAGCTTAAAAAAAACTTTATTCATCCTCAGTCCACTCCTATTAACGGGTATAACTTTCATCTCCATCTCCATCCGTGGGTAAATTATAATCTCCGTCCTTGCCCCTTGCCCCTTGCCCCATCCCCCGCCTTCATCCCCTCTCCCGCCCTCGCCCACGTCCATCTTACCTGCCCCCGTCCAAGCACAAGCCAATATAATCTAAAATTATAAATAAATTTAACATTCTAAATAATTCAACATAACTATAGAATATCATAACATAATTAAAAGTTTATCATCCACAGCATAATTCAACATAATATAATTAAAACCTTATCTACAACATAATTCAACATAATATAACTCAAAACTTGTCTCCCATGTAAATCCAACACAACATCATGAAACACAACATAATGTAACAAAACATAATCCAACATAAAAAAAAAAAAAAAAAAAAACATAAAAACATAGATCTACACTTTTACAGGCCAAAAACATGAAAAATAAAAAAAAACAAAATAATTTAAAAAAAATATTCAATAATATATGCATATATTAAAATAACGAGTAAAACGGGGCGGGGCGAGGGATAAGTGTCAGTCCATTCCCACATGGGTCCACCGTTAAATACATATAGTCCATCTCCGATCCAAATAAAACAAGTTTAGATAAATACTCAATTTTACTCGGTATACTACCATAGGGATAATGTGAAAATAATATAATAAAACCCTTTTTTAAGTACCATAGTCGAATCCATAACAACTGCGTACACTATTCTAATAATAATACAAAAAGACAAAAACGCTGCAGAGTTCTTTTTCCAAATCCCATAGTAATACGAGGTTGGTGCATTGAAATGCTCGTCCACAAGCATAATTCAAAGTCTACTTTGGGATCTCATATGAATCTCTTACTTACGATTTTTCAAATAAGAACAAAATTTATGATTATTGTATTTAATAATGTATTTTCTTCAAAACTAAATTGGCTATTTGTATTGACGATAAAACATCAAAAGATATATTTTTCATAACGATGCATTAATTAGTAGTTTCACTTTTACAATTAATGTAAAGGATCCTATGTTCGAATTATTAAGTTGGTTTATCGTTGACCATCACATGGTGGCTAAGTGGCAACTCATTGACTACAATAAGAAAATTATGGATCTACATCTCAAAAGATACCTCTATCTTTAACTATCACATGCTTGACACAATGGAAACCCCATACATAAAATAAAAAAATCATCGTCCACGTCTCGAAAGAAACATCTATCTTTAACCATCACATGCTTGGGGGTGGTCCGATTGTATTCGGGCCCTGGGTGAAAGTTATAACTGGGGCGTTTTAAAATTTAATAGTAGGATATAACTGCTACAATTAAAATTTTGTTTAAATTTTTTTTTTTTTGAGATGTAAAATTACTAATTAACCATCCATACTTAAGTTTTACTATTATACCATTTTAAATATATGAAAGAGGGCAAAGGTGTGTGTGGAAAGAATTCTAAAAAGAGAGAAGTTTTGACCTCCAAGCGGGACAGAGTGCGACCCTAAGTAATTGGGAGTTCTAGCTCATCTCTTAGGGTCCATATCGTCTGAAAACTTTTCTTGTTCCATTAGCATAGCTAAATTGGAATAGGATGACTTAGCATCAGGAAAAGTAAGTCCTCTTATCTTGATTGAATTTGACTTTGTTGCGCCCAATAAACTTAGTGATTTGATTCACCTCATTTCATTTGGGCGAGAGGGAGGCTGTGGAGGGATAAGATCAACCACTTGACGTTCATCCGATGCATATGTTATAGTTATTTCGGGAGTTATCTGGATTGCAGATTTGTCAGTTGGTTGATTCTCTAATTTGTTCAATATATTTGGGACATAATTGATCGCAAATACGACTTCACTAGTTTTGATTTATTAAAAAAAAACACCTTTTTTTTGCAAGAGCAATATTGCTTACATGTATCCTGAGTAATGTTGTATAAGTAATACACGCATTCAAAAAAAAAAAACCTAGTCTTTCTATACAGTTTAATGTTTTGATTGTAAAGTGTTTGTTTGTAAAACTACTATTATATATTTAGCTCTGCAAATAAAGTGACTTATGAATTGTCAAAAAGATGATCACATTTTAGAAAATTCTCAAGATTTTGGTAGTATGCATGAAAGTTTGTGAAATAAAAAGTTCTTTTTGAGTGACAAAGAATGAGAGAAATGTGGAGAGAGAGACTACTATGAAGATATCAATGGACTTTTTTTTTTGGACCAGAAGATGTTGAATGTAAGTATAAATTAGAAAAAAAAAAAACATTTCCCACCTAGATATCCTCTAAATATATGGATCTCAAGAGACTATTAGAGGAAAGACTAATTAAATAAATTATGGGTTGTAATATACTTGATGGATATAGAGTAATTGTTAGCGGTAAGTCTTAAATTATTTAAAGTGATGAATTAATGCATAAAAATGAGTTTAAATTCCTTGAGAGAAATATTATTGGTACCTAAAAAATTGACCTAATTTATTAATTTAACAATGCAATAGTTGATATGACCTAATATTATTATTCTAATTAACACTATAGAACTTTTTAATGAGGACCCTACGACTTAATATATCATCAGATCATTAAATTAGATCCAACAATATTACTCATTATTTAATAGGCTGACATAGAAATGTATACAAAGTTGTGCTCTACTGGTAGTTATCTTGTATGTCCTAAAAAGAAAAGACTTTCTATTGTGTGGGAAAATAAAAGGAAAAGTCTAATACAAAGAAATTCTCCTATATTTATAATTAATCATTAAACTATTATAAATATATGTACATTTACAAAGAAGAAGAAAAAAGATCGCAACATCTTATTGTACAAAAAATTACGAAACTGTATTCTCTTATTTTATTTGAATTCTCAATAACTTTGGCCTATTTATCCAATTTAATTTTCTTGAATTATAATTTTTGAGATAATTTTGATTTTAATATAATCATTCACATAGTATATTTGTTTTGCAACTTATTTTAGACCTTAAATAGCTACTAAAATATAGGAATTTAAATATTTAAAATTAAAAACAAAAATAATCATAATTCATCTAAAAATAATTTAAGGCTTTGTCTAAAATTTTTGCCTAAGACCTCAAGTATTCTTGGATCGACCCTACGCCTAAAATCATGATCATCCCAGCAAGGAAAGTTGATTTGTGAAAAAATACAAAGCCTAAGATGGGTTAAATAGATATGTTATTCTTGAAGGATGGAGGACTAATTAGTCCAAACATTAATAAATTACCAATTTTTTTTTTTTGCAAAACATCTTAACATTAAATAAGAAATAAAATAACAATTACAGAAACACAAAAATCAAGTAAAGTCAATACAATCGTGCCATTTGATGTTTCTTGGAAAAACTTACCTAAAAAAAAACACATCAAATAACATATCAAATAAAGTCAATACAAAAATAGAGTAATTGGAAAACACCAAGAAGATTATGGTATCAAAAAATAAAATTTCGGTCCAGTACCTCCAAGTTTTATAACTTTGGTGGGTTGAGATACACATTTTTAAGTTTATTTACAAAAAAAAAAAAAAATTATAATTTTGTGGGTCATGTTACAACTATTATGACTCAAGTTATAATTTTTAAGGGTTGTTTATAATTTTTAAAAAGTTAAAATTTAAGTTAATATAGTCAACCATTTAACACTTAAATGAGTTTTTATACTTAAAAGGTTAAAATTTAAGTTACTATAGTCAAACCGTAAAAATTTAAATTAGTTATTGTGATTAAAATTTAAATGAATTATTGTACTTAAAAGGTTAAAATATTAAATTGACATGGGGTTGAGTTATTATGATTAAAAGGTTAAAATTTAAGTTTCGATAATTAAATAATTAACAATTAAATGAGTTACTCTTAAAATTTAAGTTATTATTGTTAAAAAATTAAAAGATTAAAATTTAAATGAATTATTGTGGTTAAAAGGTTAAAATATTAAATCGTAATATACATCGTCGAATCTAAACGATATGAGTCATTGTTTTGTTTTTCAAGTGAAAAGTTTAAACAGCGGAAATATATATTTATTATATCACTAAAACAATTGAGACATAATTTAAAGATTTGAAGGTTTAATGTATGGTGATCATTAGATTAATAATGGAGTACAATTCAATTATCATAATTATTAAATTCTTAAACTATATCCCAATAACATTGCCCTTATTATATAGATGTATATTATCACAATAGATTTCTACATTATTTGTGAGCAAAAAAAATCATAATTCACACAAAATAATAAAAAAAATACAACTTGTAAATGCCATCATAAAAATCATGCACGAGAAAGACACTCAGACGTGCTGAGTTTATACAAATTTATTTTTTATAAATATTTTAATTATTTATATAAATAATTTATTTTTGACCAAATTATAAATAAAATTAGTCGAGATCCGATAAATTCACTCGAATAACCTCGACGGTTAACCCCCAAAAAAAAACAGACACCATGCTTGCGTTAGACTTCACTTGGCCGTCTTCACTGTTCACACCACACTCAACGGCGTATCCCAAGCGAAGCTATCTGTATCTGCTCAACACTTCCAGTTCCCTCTCCTCCCTATTTCCCCACCTCCGCATCGTACGTTCTCATTGAATTCTTCACCTCCCTCTCCCTCTCTTTCTCTCTCTAACACACATACCCCCACCCACCCTTTCTCCACCACCATGCAATCCCTTCGATCCCCATCACTCCGAGCCTCGCCAGTCAACCCACTTCGCAAACAGTCTCCAAACATAACCACCACCGCCAGTACCACCAGGAGAGTTTCATTCATCTCAGCCTCAACCCAACCCATCACAACCTCACCTCCCAAACGCGAAAAAGACTCCAAAAAACGGGTGGTCATCACCGGCATGGGCGTTGTATCGGTGTTTGGCAACGACGTTGACACTTACTACGATAAACTACTCAGCGGCCAAAGTGGTATTTCACCCATTGATCGATTCGATGCGTCTGAGTATCCTACCAGAGTTGCTGGGCAGATTCGTGGGTTCAGCTCGGATGGATACATAAATGGGAAAAACGATAGGAGGCTTGATGATAGTTTGAGGTATTGCATTGTTGCTGGTAAGAAAGCGCTCGAGGATGCCGATCTCGGTGCCGAAAAAATTTCCAAGGTTTGTGAATTTTTTTATGTGGAATCTTTGGTTAGTGTTTTTGATTGTTGAGTGGTTTTAACTTCAAGGTTTCGTAAGTGGTAGCAGATGTCTTTCAGTTTAAATTTTGATAAATTTTTAAGATCAGGTTATGAGGATTTATCACTCTTCAATATCCTAATTGTAGTGTGAATGACTTATCTTTAATCAGATCAAGAAAGAGATTAATCAATGTACACAATAAATTGGCTAAGATGTGTTGACTATTGAACCAAAAAAATATAAGAATGTTGATTGGTTCTCAGCTTTTAGTGGTTTTGGTGAATTGAGTTTGTTTGTGTGGTTTATGGATTTTTTGGGTTGGTGGGAAATTTGTTCAATAAGTTTATGGGTTTTGTGGTAGATCTTATTTAAATTTAAGTTTAAATTTATATTAGTATTAAAGAAGCTCTTACACATCCAAACTAATGATCAAACAACAAATTTATGGTTCCAACCTTTGACGCAAACTTGTATCAAATCAAGAAAGATTTATTTTTTTATCCAAATCCTGGAAAACTCAATTATTTCCTCAAATCTTTAACGGTGAGATTTCACATTATTTTAAAGATCCAATGATTAGTTTTACTCTCTTTTAAATTTAGATTTGTCTTTATTTAAATTTGAGTTTGTCCACTGAATTTATTTGTATCAAATCTATCTTTTTACTCAAATATTAATTTAAATTTGAATAAAAAATTAAGTCATGATTAGAGATGCTCTAATGGTAGAATATAAAGCCGAGAAAATATTTATTACAACACTTTTAACACGTCAATATTGTCACGTAATATAACTATCTAACGATAATTCAACAAATGAACAAACTAGACCCTCACTTTTAAATAAATACCCCCCTTCTTATACGAAAGTAACCAATATACGTGAAAAAGTAACATTTATTTTACTTATTTCGTTATTTATTATTGGACAATTATACTATGGAACAATAGTAAAGTGTACATTGAATGATAAAAGTGGTTGCTTTACTAACTTACGGGGGGAAATTAACATGCATGACCTGAATGATAAGTTTGTTTGGTTTCATCTTGACAGTGTACATTCTATTCTATCCTATATATCTCTCAACTAAATTTAAGATATATTTTTTTTTTTTGGGGTCAACGGTCAGCCATAAGACACTTTTAAATTGTTGATTTTCACTGCCATTATAACTCCAAGAACCCATAACACTTTAATCTATAATCTTGATTTTCCTGGGCAGACGAAAGTTGCAGATATAAGTTGTTTAATATTCTGCAAAACTTGGGACATAATAGCTTACCTGAATTTTTTCCTTGCATAGTTAGGAAGTAAATGGCACTTTCTTCTTCTAAAGAAACAAAATACAGATGAAGGTCACCACCACTACCTGTTATCCTAAGTCGTAATTCCTATCAGTCCTTAGATGGGACGTGTGGGTATGGATCCTGGCAGGGAGATGGACAAAAGACCGTCTGTCCGGTGATTTGGTATTCAAATTTTTTGGTTTAATGTTTTGATTCAAATTTTTATAATTACGACAGTCGTTGAGGTTAAATTTATTCTTCAACGCTCAGCGCACGTAGTGGGGTCTTAACTTCAGCCTTGATGTAGGTGCGATGGCTCTTATAAATAACTGTGTGATGCTAAAGGGCAATACTCCTTGACGAATATATGGAACAATCGTACCGTACCAAAAAAAAACTTCTCTAAGAAAATGAAACAAAGTGGCATATACACCAGGCTTATGAGGGGCAAAAACAACAAAAAGGGAAAAACCTTAACAAATTGACCATTTGAAAGCTCACACATATTAAGAAAATTAAATATGGATAAAAAAACTACATATGGCACTTGTAGATTAACTATTTATTGGGGAATATTATTGTCTTTATATATTTTCATGTGTTTTGTGTAATTACTTTCAATTTTTATGTGGCTTGGTAAGTATTGTATATGTTTTATCTTGAGTAAATTATATGTGGTTCTTGTGTCAATTAAGTTTCTGAACTTTTTTTTGTGTCAATTGAATTCCTGAACTCTCTAATTGTATCAATTGAGTCTTTTTGTCTGTTTCTGTTGAATTTTCTAACAGAAAGTGGCAAAGGGTGTTACTCATGTCACACAAATAAGTGCACATATGACCCTTGTATCGATTAAATCTCTAAACTTTTTTTTTGTGTCAATTAAGTCATTGAACCCTCTAATTATGTCAATTAATTCTTTTTGTCTTTTTGTATTATATGGTCACGTCTAACAGAGGTAAACAGAAAGCTCAATTGACACAATTAGATAGTTGAGGGTCGCAATTGATATGAAAAAAATTTAAAGGCTTAATTGACACAACGATCATAATTTGAGGGTCATATGTATAGTTTACTCTTTTATCCCACTTGATATGATGACCGCAATGTGATGCTTATTAAATACTAGGCTAGTGATAATTCGTACTTGAAAGTACGATATAATGTGAATAGTTTTGATTTTTGAGAGATATGTTGGTGGTCATTGGATAAGTTTATTTTAGATCATCGAATAAATTTATTAAAGTTTATCATATTTTATATTATAAATTTGCAGAATCATTTGTCCTTGTGTTATTTTGCAGATTGCTAAGGATCGAGTTGGGGTTCTTGCTGGGACAGGGATGGGTGGTCTTAAAGTTTATTCTGAGGGTCGTGACACTCTCAAAGAAAGGTGTCATAGGAAAATGACGCCATTTTATGTACCTTATACTATAACAAATACGGGTTCTGCCTTGCTTGCAATTGATCTCGGTTTTATGGGACCAAACTATTCAATGTCAACTGCTTGTGCTACCGCCAACAATTGCTTCTATGCTGCTGCCAATCACATCCGTCAAGGTGAAGCCGATGTGATGATTGCTGGTGGAACTGAAGCTGCCATCCTTCCTATTGGATTGGGAGGTTTTGTTGCATGCAGAGCTTTGTCTCAGAAATGATGATCCACAAACCGCTTCTAGGCCATGGGACCAAGATCGAGATGGCTTTGTCTTGGGTGAAGGAGCAGGAGTTTTGGTCAGCTTGCTCATTCTATTGATTTTTTTTTTTCTGTTATATGAGGTTTTAGTGTATATGATGTGAACCTTGTTTGCAAATTTTCTACACTCCCCGTAGGTGATGGAAAGTTTGGAACATGCAATGAAAAGAAATGCACCAATAATTGCTGAGTACCTTGGAGGCGCGGTAAATTGTGATGCTTATCATATGACTGACCCAAGTGTTGACGGACTTGGTGTTTCTTCATGCATTCAGAGTGCTCTTGATGATGCTGGTGTCTCACCAGCGGAGGTACTTGCTTCCTTTCCTTAAATCAACTTTCTTATAGTACCATAGCATGTCTTTTCCTAGATGGTGTCGAATCTTGGATGCAGATTATTACTAGAACTTAACAAAATAAGTTATTAGAAAGACGGAATATTCTACAAAGAGGGGGTAAAACTTTAGTGAGGCCCTACTCCTTCAAAGCCACTTATATCAAACGTAACCCCCCCCCCCCCTCTTCCCAACAATAATCCTAGCAAAATTGCACCTTACCACCACAATTTTGTGATGTGGAGTTTCATAGTGTTTTTAGCTCAACATTTCTCCCAAATCTAAAGAAGTTGGGTCTAAAATATGCATAACTTTCCAAAAAGTATTGCAGGATCTCCTTAAACTCCAATTTTATTGATACACGACATCTGTCTCGGGTTCTGTTATTATTGCAATTGAGCTGCCATGGGAAGGTGGTTGGTCTTTGACGGTATTTGAAAGCCAGCAAGCGTAACAAAAAAAATAGTCGTTTAAGCAAAGTTGGTGGTGTGATGTTCCCATTCTAGTAACCCTATTGGTGGATATTGCATAGTGGTGAGGTGTTGGTAGTGTCACTGAAAATCAAGGTGAGATCAGCAGTGACTAAGATCAATGACGGAGGTCTTGATTTTGGGTGACACTGGTAACTTTGGTGGTGAAGTAACTGTTGGTGTTGATTTTTCTACGATTAGGATGGAAACTTAGTGGAGTTTGTAAGATCCTAAGCTGATGAATTAAACTTCTCCGTATTTCTTTGTCAGGTTAACTATATAAATGCACATGCTACTTCTTCTATAGTTGGTGACCTGGCTGAGGTGAATGGCATTAAAAAGGTACTCAAGAGCACATCAGAGATCAAAATGAATGCAACTAAGGTTCTCTCTCTCTCTCGTGCTAGCTTTTGTGCAGCATTGTTAATTTTTTTCATTGTAATTCCTGATGATACACAAAAATGGTTTTGTACACCACCTGTTAAGTGTAAATAATAAATGCAGTAAAAGTAAAGAGAGAATTGGAGAAGACAAGATTTATAGTGGTTCGGTCAACTCGACCTACGTCTACTCTTGAATGACTTTCATTGTCGGGTACTTTATTAATTTAAGGGTGTGGAGACAGAGAATACAAGCTTCGAGGGAGAAGAGAGAGTCAGGGAAGGTGTGATGTCAGGCAATCAATGTCCTCCTAGGTGTTGATGGAGTATGCAATTTATAGTGGCTCCCTAACAGGTTGGGGCTACTTTCCAGTGACTAAGCAACCATTTCGGTGGAGCTCCAATCTCTTCTCAACGAGCGAGGTGGTTGAGGAGCTCTCCATGAGACGTGGTCAAAGATATGGTGAGGGTGGACCGTTTTCTTCAGTGGTGCAGATAAGGTTTCCCATGCTCTCCCCTTGATGACGTGGCTAAGCAAAGAGTCTAACTTTGTCTTGGGCTATGTTGGGCTTGGTGGATCTTTAAATGAGGTAGGACTTCTTAATTGAGATTTGGACTTTGCACATACATTGGGTCATTTTGGGCTTGACCCATCATTTGCCCCCCCAATGCCTCATGTTCAAGGAAAGCTTGGAGAAGGAGGCATTGACTCTTCATTTGTATATTTTTGGTTTTGGTGCAAACTCCAAACCTTTCCCACTTTATTTTGAAAAGGGCCCATAATCTTCAATTTGGGCTTTTTCCCTCTTTTTTTAAAAAACCCTAGACTATAAATATAGTCTTCTTCTCCATCCTACCCATTTTGTTGAAACTTTGAGATGGAAAAGTGTGTTCTTCTTGAATCCTTTCAAGAGGGGGATTCCTTCCTTTCTAGTAGAGTTTCTCAAGTGGGCAATGCCGATTGAAGAGGGAATGGTGGAGATTGAAGAAAGGGAGGAGGTAGGCACCATTTTAGGAAACTTGGAGGCTGGTTTTGACCATTCGGGTGCTGTCCTGGACAGCCTTGATGCCAAAAATGGTGGACTGGACAGCCTGGGTGCCGAAGGTGGTGGGTTGGACAGCTCAGTTTTGCAAACCTCTCTGCTGGACAGCACCTTCGCGCGAATCAGCGCGCAGAGAGGCAGTTTGGGCAGCGCAGAAAGACTAGGCAGCGCGCAAGGAGGTGGGCTGGGCAGTGTAGGGGAGATGGGCAGCGCGCAAGATGATCTGGACAGCTCGCCTAATGGACTGGACAGCGCAAACGCACGACTGGGCAGCGCTCGCGTGACGCCTGGTGGGCTGGGCAGCGCTGTACAGGCTGGAAAAAAAGATGTCCAGACCAGCAGGAGCGCAGCAAGGGAGCTGGGTAGCAGCCTGGATGGTCTGGACAGCACGCCTGATGGGTTGGACAGCGCAAACGCGCGACTGGGCAACGCGTGCACAGTCTGGCAAACTGGGTAGTGCGCGCGTGACGCCTGGTGGGCTGGGCAGAGCTGTACAGGCTAGAAAAAGAGTTGTCCAGGCCAGCAGGAGCACAACAAGGGAGCTGGGCAGCAGCCTGGGTGCATGGGCAGGTCTGAGCGCCACTCCAGGTGCTGATTCGTGCATCGTAGGCCATGATTTTGGTGCCGAAAATGCTGTTTTGTGCAGTTTTGAAGGGTCAGGCACCCTTCTAACTACTGGGCAACTCCGTTTTGGCGAGTAAAGGCAGTCAGACACCCCTCCAAGTGTTGGGCTAGACATTGTAAGCGGTAAGGAAGCTTTGGGTGCTATTTTTGATGATCTAGACCCTGCTGTGACTCCTCCGATTCAAGTTCCTTAAGACTATTCCTTACAGCCCCGGAAGAAGAAACGTAAAGGCAAAGTGGGACTCAATGATGACGGGTCTAAAGTGAATACCCTTTCCAGTTTGTTTCGTTTAGATAAAGATATCTCGAGGCTTATTTTTACTTATCACATTCCTCCGACCGTGTTGTGCCGTCGGGCTGAGTTGGACGAGCTTGCTTGCGATGACTCTTCTGGTGATATTGTTGTTTACGAGGAGATGCTTGAGGCTGGGTTAAGATTCTCCATATCCTCTCCCATTTGTCACATTTTGCACTATTTTTCCTTGACTCCAGGACAACTAGCGTCCAATGGTTGGAGAGTTTGGCTGGGCTTTCTTGCATTGTGGAGAAAAGTGCACCATGAGGATGCTTCTCCTATGAAATTCCATGCAGCATACAATTTGAGCGAAACCCCTGCACCAAATAGGGGGTGGCACTACTTTACCACAAGAAGTGGTACAGTGCTTACGGGAACGCGCTCTAATTGTGGCGGCTGGAAATCTTACTTCTTCTTTGTTGGTGGAGAATGGGCTGCAGAAGTTGACAGAGCTTTGGTACCAACACATTGGGGTGCTGCTAGAAAACCCGGTACGCTGCACATTTTTTTTTTATATATATATGTATACATGTATGCTCACCTTTTCCTTGCAGATACGTCTGTGCTTTCTCGAGACCAGAAGTGGAAGTTGGAGGCTGTCAAGGCTTGCCCTTGCAAAGATTTAGGAGCTCTCCTGCCCAAGTATACTAGGGTCGTTGCTCCCTCTCAGAAATCTGGTGATTCCTCTTCGAAGAAAAGGGGTGAGCTAGTTTCCTCTTTTAATTATCTTCTTCCCTCGGTATTTTTCATTTACCTGACACTTTTCTGCTCTTGCAGCAAGTAAGAGGGTGATGGTGTCCCGTTTCTCTAGTAGGAACCCTCCCTCTTCCAAAGTGGCAAGGACGGATGATGCCCCCCAAGTGACTCCCACGATGGTTCCTCCTCAGCTGGTGACTTCTCCAGTTGCTACTCCAAAATCTTCCTTGTCGGGCACATCCTCCCCACCTTCATCCCCTCCTCGTGCTGCCCCTTCTTTGTCCTCTCCTCGTGCGAGAACTTCTACAAGAGTGCCGATTTGGGCTGGTCCTATGATGGGGAGTCCGCCAGCCATCAGGGCAAGGCTTGGGAGGTTTGTGTTTGGACCTGAAGTTTCTCAACTTAGCGCTTCGAGTACCGATAGGATCGTCGATACGTATTTGGAAGGCCTGGCTCAGGTGAGGGTCCGCTATTTCCCTTTCTCCAGTCGTTTCCTGTGTTTTTGACTTTTCTCAATCTCTTATCTCTTTTTTTTTTTAGGTTTCGACTTCCTCTATCTGCTTGCTTTCGAGGGCCTATAATCAGGACAAGCTGAAGCTGGATCTCAGCCTTGCGCAAAGGGAGCTTCTTACTGCTCAGGGGAGGATTGTCAAGCTTGATTCTAAGCTTTTGGCGACCCGTGAGAGGGACGCGCTCTGGGAGGGTGAGCTTGTGGAGGCTCATGAAAAGGCTTTCAATTTTGAGTCTGAGCTTTTGGAGGCCTGTGCGAGGGACGCGCTCAGGAATGATGAGCTTACTGCAGCCCATGAGAGGACAACTAAGCTTGAGGCTGAGCTTCTAGCGGTCCGCGAGAGGAACGTGCTCAGGGAGGCTGAGCTTATAGAGGCCCATGGGGGGCCATGCTCAGAGAGGCTGCTGTTGCGGAGGCAAAGTTGAAGGCTGCTTGGGAGAGAGTTTCCCGTGCTGAGGAAGACTTAGAGAATGGTCTCGCAGATGCTTTCATTGATGGTTTCGAGGATCTCCGAGGGAAGGTTTCTACCGTTTTTCCTGACATTGACTTTTCACGTTTCGTGCCCACTAACGACAGTGATGAGGAAGGATCTGATAATGTTGATGACGATGAGGAGGAGGTAGAGGACGACCGTGAGAGCAGTTAGATTGTTTAGGAGTTTTGATTTTTTTTTTTTTTTGAAAAAGTGGTATTTAGCCTTATTTTTGTACTGCAAAAGATCTTTTTAGAGTAAATAGCGTAGGAAATTTTATTGATTTATTGCTTATAAAAAATAATATTGGGTAATAATTCCCAAAAAAGTACATTGAATGTGGGGTAACGCCCCTAAAAATCAAATTAAGTCACAACTTCTACTACTTTGATGCTCTCAAGGTGTCATTGATAATACATTTTCAAGTGCTTTGCATTTCATGGATGGAGTAAGACTTTTTCCTCAGAATTCTGGATCTTGTAGGTGTCTGGCCTCACTACTTCTGTTATGTGATAGGGTCCTTCCCAATTTGGTCCCAACTTCCTTCGCGTGCATCTTTTGTGACGAGAATTACTTTCTTGAGGACCAAATCCCCTGGTTGGAAAGAACGAGGCTTCACCCTCGAATTGTAGTACCTTGCCATGCGCCGTTTGTATTCCGCGTTGCGGATTATAGTCATCTCCCTTGCCTCCTCCACCAAGTCGAGGTTGATGCGGAGTCCTTCCTCGTTGGTGATGGGGTCGTGGTGCTGGACCCTTAGAGAGTGTACCCCTATCTCCACAAGGGTGACCGCCTCAGTTCCAAAGGCGAGGGAAAAAAGGGTCTCCCCAGTAGGGGTTCTTGGGTGGTTCGATAGGCCCACAGTACGCCTGGTAGCTCCTCTACCTAAAGGCCTTTTGCTTTTTCAAGCCTTGTCTTTAAGTTACGTAGCACCGTTCTTACCATGACCTCTGCTTGTCCATTTGTCTGCGGGTGTGCCGGGCTGGAGTGCGATTGTTTTATCTGAAGGTCAGAACAGAAGGAGTTCAGTAGCTTGTTGTCAAACTGCTTGGCATTGTCGCTGACAATGGCATGAGGAATCCTGAAGCGACAGACTAGGTTCTTCTAAATAAAATCTTTGACCTTTGCGTCTGTGATTTTTGCTAAGGGTTCAGCTTCTGACCACTTGGTGAAATAGTCGACTGCCACCACCACGAATTTGCACTGCCCTTTGCTGAGGGGCAAGGGGCCCAGGATGTCAATGCCCCACTTGGAGAAAGGTCATGGACTTGAAATAGTTGTTAGCTCCTCGGGTGGTTGCCTAGGCACAGTCGCAAAGCGT